TTTTTTTTGTCTGAGTCTAAGTTGCTGCATTAGTTAGTTCACTTTCAGTCTTTACCACAAAATTTCCAAGATAGTCACTCACAAAGAAGAAAGGTTTATGAGGACTCACAGCTTGGGAGTCCCATTGGCCCCAGTGCTTCCAACCAAAGCAGCACAGCTAGGCTGAGTACTTGGGGGAGGAAGCCAGGAAGTGATCAGCCAGGAAGTTGTGGGGCGGGGCAGAAAAAGAGATCTCAGCCCCATAATCCCCTTTGAGGGCAGAGCACAGTGGCATAAAGACCTCCCACATCCTCCACCTCTCCAAGGTTCCACCATTTCTTCAGGACAGTGATGGAGCAATGTCTCCCGGCAGTTGCTTACTCAGAGGACCTGGTTTCTCGGTTCTGTCTTCTTCCATGGTGACCGCTAACTTAGTGGTCAGGCTCTAGAACGAGGGTCTTTCTAAGGTGTGAGCCATGTGGCTCTCTCGTAGTGAAGACGCGAAGACTCAGCGTGGGCTTCCGCCACCCGAGAAGCGTGTGACGAAACACAGGCAGGGTCTCACAAGCTCTGTGACGGTCCCCCGTCCTGAGCTGGCATCTTCCACCCTCTTCTCCAAGAATTTTAAATTCTCCTGCCTCCAGCCTTCCATGTGTGGTTTATACTGCCGTAACTCAGCTCTCTGTCTTCTCTAGTTGTTTTCGGCTTGAGGTTTTTCTCCCTTGTTTTGGCTTGTGTCAGGTGCCCCATCAGCCTGCCTCTTTTCTGGCTCAGTGTTTGAGGCACACCAACGTGTCTTTTCATTCCTTAGGGCGGGTGTCCAAAATGCCACCCTATTGTGTCAAATCTGCTTTCCAACTTTCCAAATGGCACAGAGCTTGTTGTCCTCACTCCCTTCCACGTGGCTGGCTGTAAGTCCTTTCCTTCAGCTTCAGCAACGCCCTGTGGTATTCTCAGTCAGCACACACTCACATTCAAATCCCATGATCTTGGCAGTGCCTTTCCATGCTAAAGACTCTACACTGTTCAGAGTATGAGAAACTTCGCTCAACAGTCAACATTTGGGAGACGGAATACCTCCCCAAACATAAACCCTCACACACACACCATAATTGTAGAATCACTCTCACAGGAAGGTAGCACTTTTCCATCCGCTGTGAACCCTGTGGAGATTTCTCCCCACCCCCACATACACACACACACACACACACACACACACACACACACTGCCACCCCCATTTAACAGAGAGAACACCGCTGATTTTGTAGCCATGTGACACCCGGACAAAGGACCTGCCAGCCTGGCAATGAGGTGAGAGTTTGTGCCCTAAAGAAGGAAATGGGAAGCTAGCAGCTCTCCATCATTCTGACAAGCAGTTTACCACTGGTTATTTGAGGGGTGCTGACAGGGGCTGACTGAACGAGTAGAAAGCCCCTGAATTCATCTTCTCCTAGCAACGTGGACTGCAGGGAATGCCGTTGCAGCACTTTCTGAAAAACATCAAAAGGGAGATGGAACAGCACAAAATATATTAGGTGAAATGCAATTTCAAATTTTCCAGCAATGTGCTTAATATATAAAATAATCTACGCCCAACTGTACTCATGAAGCGGCAAGCCGGCCGAGTGGCCCTGTAAATCATAACCTCCAGAAGAGAATAAAAGCCTTATTCTTTGCTTAATGGCTTTTGGAGTCACATGGCAATATTTGAAAAATACCATTTTTTAAAGGTTTCCATGTTCTCTCCCCCAAAAAGTTAGTCTCCACCTGTGCACAGCGAGCCTTTGAAGTCAAAGCTGATGGTAAGCAGGCACGTCGGTTGCCCTCGGCCAGGGTTGCCAGCTTTTAGCGTTCCTCTTTGAATTCAAACCAACTGTGCATTTTCGTGCTCTCAGTCTTGGGGTTTTCACTAATAGAAAAATGGGTTGTGGGCATCCAGGTACCCCCAATCACACAGCTCCTACTGATGACCAGCCTTTACTAACTACAAACTTCATTCGTTTTCTGCATCTGTGTCTTGAATTCTCACGCCACTGTGCGTTGCTGTTTTTATCACTGTTCCTGGCACAGGATGCAATTTTGCGCCTCTGACAGTTTATCTGCTCTGTCTAAGTGAGTATCTATTACCCTCCATTTTCTGCAGCATTTGCCATAGTTCTGCTGTGGAGGTTACTGTCTGCATGTCTAAAAATAGACTGTGGGTTTAAAATGGCAGGAGGAAGGCAAGCACAGGCTTCTTTGCAGTTGATTATTTGTGAAATTGGGTTTGGGGGGGATTTTTTTGTTGGTTTTTTGTTGGTTTTTGTTTTGTTTGTTTGTTTTGTTTTGTTTTGTTTTGAAGGTCAGGATGTAAATTCGTGAAAGAGCCCAGTAAACTCTTAACACCTTTGATTCTGTGTGTTCTTCTTCTAGATGTTAACAGCTGGCTGGTGACATTTGGCTTCCATTTGCACAATGCTATTCCTGGATTCCCTGTTCCCAAATTTGATTTAACAGAACCTTCATATGAACTTGTGAAGAGTCAGCAGTGGGAAGATGTGCCGGTAAGAACCAAAAAGCGAAAGGAAGAGAACGTGGTGAATGGCATACTTGTGTCTTCTTCACCCAGATTTCATGGAACTACCCTTGTGCAAACTGTACCAAAACCAGCTTCTCTTTCTTCTTTTCTTCTTTCTTTTTCCACACTTCTGAGGAAGGAAAACTGACAGTTCCACCGCATTTCTGTTCAGCATGCTAGGGGCCTGTTAAACAGGCCAAATCTGTTTCTAGTAATGCTAATAAAAGCATTGAAATACACTATCAAAAGGCAATAAAATGCAGAAGCCTGTGTTTTTGTGTGTGTAGGGTTTCTGCAGAGAACCCCAGGAAAAAGCATTTATGGCACCTGGGAGCTGAAGGCAAGATTCAATAAACAGGAGAAGGGGGGATTCAGATTTCAAATTAGCAGCCCACAAACAGTGCCACAACGGCATTTGCAGAAAATAAAAATAAAAATGTCCTCTAGTAAGGCTCCGTCTACGAGCAGGTGTTCATAGAGTTTTCCTGAAAAATAACAGATCAGGAGGCCTGACCCTGTTGTGAGAAATAACCTAAGAAATAGAATGGGAAATTGCAGAGTCGAAACTGCTGTGTCAGGAAGTGGCTCTTTAACTCGCATCATTCAGAGCTCAGGAAAGAATGCCCAACAAAACACCAGGACTTCTCGCTCAAAGCAAGAATAATTAGAGATCAAGAAATTGGGTTACCTCTTAATGATAAGGAGAGCTCCGAGTTCCTAGAAAAGTTAATCCCCACCTGGAGCAATTTCCTACCACTTTCATGAATACAAAAAGGCAATCATGATTAAGACACAAATACACACATGGCATATACAGTGCTCAGAGATACATTTTTCTGATAAAGTTTCATTCTTAACATTTAAAAAAAAAAAACCCTGTTTCAGTGACATCTTTATTTAATGAACAAAATCCATCAAGCTTCTAACATTGCTTCCTTTTTTTTTCCCCAAGATTTTTTTTTAAGCTGCATTTACAGAAATGTGCATATTGTAGTGGCAAGGGGCCTTGGATGCTGAGTCCAGAAGAGGGCATAGGGTGCCCTGGAAGGAGAGCTACAGGCAGTTGTGAGCAGCCAGATGTTGGCACTGGTAACCCAACTCCCGTCGTAGGCAAGAGCAATGTGCACTTCATCCGGGAGCCTTCTCGCCAACCCTCATTTTAACATTTCTAACTACAGATCTATCTGGCCCTGACAACATGCCTTGAAGTTGAACCAAGGCCTCCTAATGAATTTGAGCAGGCATGACTTTTGAACATGTCTGCAAGCTCTGTAGTCTGCTGGTACAAACAGACTTGCCGACTTTTTTCTCCCCCCAGGCAGCCTTCTAATGTGGCTCAAGTTCTCTGTCAAAAAAAAAAACAAAAGTGCACCATAAGAGCAGCTTGGGGGATCATGAATTAAGACAGTGGGCAGCCTCCCTGGCACAGGAAGGGAGGAGGGCATTTCTCTCAGCGCTGCGAACTAAACAGATGTTTCCATTTGTCTGGAACAAACATCTGTCGGTTTAAGAAATGGCTGGGTTAGAATACCCCCAATTTCAAGCAGTTTGCCCACGGAGATGGTCCCCCGTCTCCAGATCTACATTAAGATACTTGTTTTCCAAAGTTTAAGACCGAGTGCCCAGCTGGCCCATAGTCCACTAATCCCTGCATATCTTAGCTCTGCAATTACGCCAGTGACTCTCAGCTAAAAACTGTGTTCCATGGGACAAGAGGCACAAAGGACTTACAGCACAGACATTTCAAAGTGTGGAAGGGCCTGGTGACCCCAGCCTTTCCCTGTCAGCGGCTTTCTCCGAAGCTTCCCAAGAGAAAACTATTGCCATGCGCCTGGTAGACTGGCTTTCCCACTCGGAGTGGTTTGAGAATAAAGCATCTAGGAATTATAAAATGAAAGATAACAATATAAATAGTTTGTCTGCCTTGAAAAAAAAAAGCTGTGAGAGATTATGTAAGATGTTTTAATTTTTTATTATTACCTTTTTATTTTGTGCGTTGCACATATAATCTCATACAACAGCACATGTACTGAGGTCGGAGGACGATTTGGTCAGACTTGGCAGTACGGACTTTTTACCCAGTGAGCCATTCACCAGCCAATAAACTCCCTTCTTGAACATTGTAGAAGCTAGTAGAATCACCATGAGGGAAGGCAATCCCATTCCATCCTAGCTAGTGTGTCATTCTAGTCCCTCTAGAGCCAAGGAATTGTCAACAAAGGCTTCTGCGCCTCCAGTCAGCCCTGTTTTGTTTGCTTGTTGGTTGGGGTTTGGGTCTCTGGTAGCTCACCAGCTCAGAATAGCTCTGAACTCACTAGGCAGCCAAGGATAGCCTTGATCCTCCTTCCCCTCCACCTCCCCAGTGTGGAGAGTAAAGCATGGGGGGCAGGGGAGGGGGGCTGCTTTATTTGTGGTCAGGAACAGGAAGATCGCCAGCAAGAGTGGCTCCCAGCCACCAGGATCTGCCTTCTGATGTTCTTTCAACCTCCCTCCTCTCGTGTTCTGCCTTTCAGCCCATCTTTGGAGTTCAGCAGCAAGTGGCAAGGCAAGCCAAGGCCTTCCTGTCCCTGGGGAAGATGGCCGAGGTCCAGGTGAGCCGACGCAAGGCGGGTGGCGAGCAGTCGTGGTTGTGGTTCGCCACGGTCAAGTCGCTCATCGGCAAGGGCGTCATGCTGGCTGTGAGCCAAGGCCGCGTGCAGACCAACGTGCTCAACATCGCCAACGAGGACTGCATCAAGGTGGCGGCCGTGCTCAATAACGCCTTCTACCTGGAGAACCTGCACTTCACCATCGAGGGCAAGGACACCCACTACTTCATCAAGACCACCACACCCGAGAGCGACCTGGGCACTCTGCGGCTGACGAGCGGCCGCAAGGCACTGGAGAACGGCATCAACGTGACCGTGTCGCAGTCCACCACGGTGGTGAACGGCAGGACTCGCAGGTTCGCCGACGTGGAGATGCAGTTCGGGGCGCTGGCCCTGCACGTGCGCTACGGCATGACGCTGGACGAGGAGAAGGCGCGCATCCTGGAGCAGGCTCGCCAGCGCGCTCTCGCCCGGGCCTGGGCGCGCGAGCAGCAGCGCGTGCGCGACGGCGAGGAGGGTGCGCGCCTCTGGACCGAGGGCGAGAAGCGGCAGCTGCTGAGCGCCGGCAAGGTGCAGGGTTACGACGGGTACTACGTACTGTCGGTGGAGCAGTACCCCGAGCTGGCCGACAGCGCCAACAACATCCAGTTTCTGCGACAAAGCGAGATCGGCAAGAGGTAACCCCTGGGCCAGCCCTGCGCACAGTCTCCTGTAGCACAATCCCAACCGGACTCTCCAAAGAGCCTTTCCAGAAGGACACTGCTCTGCAGACACACACACACACACACACCGCATACACACACGCAACACAGACCAGAAACAGAGACAACTTTTCCTGAATGACCTTAAAGGTGATCGGCTTTAAAGAATATGTTTACATACGTATATCGCTGCACTCATTTGGACTGGAAGTGTGAGAAGGAAAAAAAAAAAAAAGCATTAAAAAGGCAACGTTTTGCCGTGGCCCTCTGTACCTTCGAGGCCCTGTATTTAAGGTTTTAAAATGAAAAAAAAAAAAAAAATGCGTAAGGTGTTTCCAAGATATTACTGAATTGTCGACCTTTGCTTACAGGAAGTCATCTGTACTTAGGATATGATATATAGAGATCTGTTCGTTTTCAAATGTGGGGCAGAGTTACTGTTTCTAGAACCCGACTGCTTTCCCGTGCTGCATCGTAAGAGGACACTGGCACAGGGCCACCTGCCTCGGCGGGGGTTTAATAATGGATTTTACTAACATGGCTTGCCCTGGGAGGGAAAAACTGATGAATACAATCCTTGTCACTGATAAGCAAAGGAAACCCTGATTTTTTTGTAAATTATGTGAGACAAGTTGTTTATGGATTTTTTATATGAATTACAATTTACTGTACATCAAATATTAGTCTCAGAGGAGTTAATTTATGTAAAGTGTTTAAAAGTTTATACTTAAAAATAAAATGATAAAAACATGTGAACTGTGTGATTTTTTAAAAAAGGATTGCACCTTTTGTTATCTGTTATAACTGTACAGTATAACTTATTATATTGTAGAGATATAACAACTTATGCCTATCATGTCCAGAAGTGTTAATATTTTTGTATTAGGTTGAAAAAAAACGTGCAACTTTCTATCACTTAGATAGATAGGACAGTGCAATCCTAAGAGGGTAGCTAATCCGAGAACCCCTTCTGCTTCCTTCTCTTTCATCAGGCCACTGTCCTCAACCATTATCAACCAAGAGGCAGAGTAGACATCCAAGGCTGGTGGAATGTGATCGAAGATATTGGGGGAAAGGGGGACAGACAGAAGACAAGGGGGGAATAGGCTCTCTGACCCTCTCTAGGCCCTAAAGGTCAAGCTGATGTAACTGGCCAGAGCTTTTAATACTATATCATTGTCCCTCAAAGCTCCACTTGCGTGATGGAGGAAAGAGAACACAATCTGCTGCTTGGAAATATTTGTGGGGAGGGACGGACTTGGTGTCATGGTAACCGTATCTTACTATCTAGGAGAGATAGAAATCGAGCAGTAGTAAGCCAGGGGTGGGGGCACAGACCAGTCAAGATCACTCTCTGTGAGTCTTGGAGTTGGACCCTTACCTTAAGTCAGCAAGTGGGACCAAAGCAGGAAGGCAAGCTCCTGTAAACCCACATGGCCCAACCACCATAGGGGCTGGCTTGAGTGGCAGCCTGTGCTGGCCAGGGGTAGCCTGGAGTGGAGTGAGGGGGAAACTGAAACGATGCCCCCTGACTGAAAGCTTGGGGTTCCACCATAGACACCATCCGCACTTCTGTGCCAGCCCAGCCACTCCGAAGAACCTTTCGTGAGCACTAAATTCAGCCACAAAAATATTTTTAGAAAATATTTCTCAGTTCATTGAGCTATAGTACACACTGTTTTCCTCTCTGTATAATGGTGATAAATACAGCCAGTGAACATGTCGTGAATAGAAAGGTTCAAGTGATGTATTGAAAATAATTTTCTAACTGCTTTGTGTGTATCACATACTCTAAATTGCACAGTAGGCGTGTTTATTAAACAGATTGGCTGGGAAAAGTTTTGAAATAACGACTGAATCTACAGTCTCAGTGCTATTCCTGTCGCTGTGTATGTGCTAGGACATACCAAGGTAATTAATCTTCTAATGAATGCTGATATTTTATTAGAATGAAAGCACAGATTAGCTTTACTATTTTTTATCCTGGAAAAAAACAAAAAAACAAAAAAAAAAACCTTTGGCAGTACTAGGAAGCCCAAATTTAGAAAACTATGAGATTTCAAACCACGTAACATGGCTCTGTTTGACGTTTTATTTTTTAACTGTTAACTTAGGTGTTCGCAGTTCTGTTGACTAGGACTTCTGCAGGACTGTTATTTAGCATGCTGTAAGTATTTTTGGGTGAAATAGGCTCCGAGTCTAAATTCCCATAAATGTCTGTGATGTACTGACCACGAATAGTAGCGTGTGTAACTTCACACCAAGGAAGTGAAGTTACACGCTTAACCCCTTCTCGACATGGACTGGTCTTTCTGGGGCACCAAGAAATGACAGATTTGGAGAGTCTCCTGGTGCTTATTTTAGAAGAAGTCAAATCAACCCAATTAGTGTCTTGTTAGTAGGTATAATGAGCCTATTTCTTTCTAAAAAGGCTTGTGGTCTGGACGTGCTTTTACAAGAAATAGTGACCTTGGGGAATATGTAAACATCTTTTTCTAAGAGTTGGGGGGAGGTCGGGGAACTGTATAATGACAAGAATTAGCTTAAAAAAAAACACAAAAGAAATTGATATTCAAAGTATTTTAGGCAAAGCCAGTCAAAATGCTTTCATGATATTTTGAGATGTAAATTTTTGTCTGATTTGTATTGTTCTTTTCATTTGCCTTCTTAACTTTATATGTGACCTGAATTTTCCATAACTTGATGACTATAGATTGCATCTAGGCATTCCAATAAAAGCCAACCCAATGTGTGTGTGTTTATATATTTTTCTTTTCAAATCTTGACTAGCCAGAATTGCTATTGTGCTTGACATGGATGGAGAAGGAGGCAGATCTAGGGGTGGGGTTCTTCTGCAGCCAACCTGGCGGTAGCTTTTATTGCTGGTTTTGGTTTTCTGTTTTGTTTTTGTATTTAGTATCGAAATGACAGCTCAGAAGGGCACCCTTCACGAGGACTCTTCCCCTGGCCTACTTTAGAAAAATGTTTACACCTCCACACAGCCAAACACTAACTGTAAAGAAGAATTGAAAAAAAAAAATCACCCATTACTACTGGAAAGCAGGTCTCATTCCTGTGATGTTAGCATTGAGTGTGCTTAATTAAAACACTTGATTAGAATAATCAGTTTGGGCTGATAGGTTCTCAGCCTCCTGGAGATGTCTAAATCTACATATAGACCGACTGATTAGGGTTTGCTTTGTTCAGCAATTCCAGGCTGACAGGCCGGAGCTTTGATTCTAGTATGAAAAGGCAGATTCCCCCATGCTTGCTTCACGGTGACAACCTCGACTTGGTACCGTGTGGCTGCTGCTGGAATCAGGTCACTCCACTCAGCAGAAGGGTCCGGTTTCTTCTCAAATTAGTTTAATATGCTCGAGGCACAGGAACCCCACACAAAAAAAAAAACAAAAACATATTCCAACCCTTCCTAGCTACAATGCTTTTCTTGTCTGAGCCAAGCACAGTACTGGAAGTGAATTTTAGATAATGAACTGGGTACCAAACATGGTGCTTCCACAGGAAAATGTGCCTCTGTATTTATATTCACTGTGTGTTATCTGTGACAAAAACCACTGGAGCCATGGTCAGAGTTGGCTGTCCTTTTTGGACACAGCCCACCCGTGAACTGCCACTGCCCAACCCAGGTGAGATGGAATGAATGGCAACTAGGCTCCTGCAGAGCGAGGCAAGCCCTCTCCTGGAGGGCCTTGAAGGACAGAGGGGCAAGATCATACCCCTTCCACAAATACCTAAACTCCACCACGCTGCCCTGAAGGAAAAGGGAGCTCAGTCCACAGCATGCGGTAAATTCTAGATGGTGAGGGAGAAGGAACTTGGAGAAGTTTCAGTGAGTTTTTTCAAGGGAGGGGTTCAAAGCCAAAATGAGCAAAGCTTCTCTCTCCCGATAACACTCCCCAGAGAGTTCTGGAGACATCACCAGCCCTATTGCATAGGTCACGTGACATACAGTTCCAGGCTCTTGACAGTGTTAGCGAATGCCCATCATTTCTAAAGGAAGGGCTAGAGATTTTCCATAAGTCACTTGTTTGACTTTTTACCAAGGCCGTGGTAAAAAAGTACAAGTTGTTTATATCAGTCCTTCTCACTTTAACCACAGCACGAAGCAGGAGTGCCAAAGAGGTACTGATGCGCTGCTGGAATTTCCTCCCCCCAGTTGAAGCCACAGAACGAATATCCTCTGTCACCAACATTCTCATTTGTTATTCACCGCCTCTACGAGCCATGGTCTCTTGGTGTCAGTTAATTACTAATAACTTTTAGGTAGAATGAGTAAACCTCTTTATTTATGAACTGACTTAAAATTCTGTCATGAAGGAATACAGGGTTCCGAGAGCCCTGTGTATAGAGAATTTACTACAAACCGGGGCTGAGCCTAAAGTAACATCATTATTCAGTTTAGAGTTAATGGGCTCCACAAAGCAAATTTAATAAATCCTTCTGGGATCTAAGCGGAGGAAAATTGAAATTGGAAGTATAAATTGTGAGTTGTAGGGCAAGAGACTGGCTTGGTTGCGGTCTTCCTGCTTAGGGGGTGAGTTGTGAGCGGCCACGGGTCTTAGGAGGGGAGCTCGCATTCCTTTTACAGGTGTGCGGAGATCTCCTGAATTCCACCCACGATGGCCGATGGCCGTTTCCATCTAACCTAGCTCACTGCAGCGAACCGACAGGATTTACAGGTGGTCCGCTGGGTGGAGAGGAATTCTTTAAAATGTTTGCAAGTTAACTTTTCAAGGTGAGGGGAGCACAGATGCCCGAGGAGGTGAAATGACGGGTTCTTTGACACAGGTGAAGGCTGAAAATAGCAGGAACTCTGAGGAAACACACCAACTAGTCTCTCCCACCTCGGCTTCTCCTCACAGGGTGATCAGCAACGGTGTGCCAGGGGAGCTCCACCCTATCCCCAACGGTCCTCCAAGACAAACGGATGGGGAAGCCTGCTTACACCTATTTCAAAAAAATCCTTAAAAAATCGTTCTCAGGTCCTCCTGCCTCTACATCCTCCCCTTTTCTTCCTCTTAATTCTTTTTTTTTTTTTTTTTTTTTTTCTGGAATGACCCCAGCAAGAGCTGCCTGGTTTTGTGACCAAAAAGATTGTGCCCGCTTTTCTTCACCTTCGGAGGAAAAACCATGCTGGTCCATTGATAAGCCAGGTGGTTTTAACTGCTGAGGCTCTCCTAGGGAACGACAGTCTTCCATCCCCCAACTTAGTGCCAAAAAGGTTATATAAGCAAGCAGGTTTCAAAGTCCCCCTTCGACTGACTGACGTTATCTTCAAGGTCAGGCGGGAGATGTCTGCGTCGCTCTCAAGCAGCACTGTCAAGTACAGACAAGCGGAGGAGGCACAAAGCGGTCAGGGCAGCCTAGCTCGCTTGAGGTAGGGAAGGGAGAGGCCATCTTCCCACAGGTCGCTCCTCCATTCCTGCCTTCACCCCTTAGTTTTCAGGACCCTTTGGAAGTGAGAGCCCGTCCCAACATCTGGTGACACCCTAGAGTGAGCCTCGGCACAGACCTGGGTCTGGGTCGGGGTGGCTACGCAGCGCTTTCGTGAAGGGCTCTTGCGCCCCCTAGCGGCGGGTGCCTTAGGTAGCGACAGGCTGTGCTAAAAGCGGCTGCGATGTCCAGAACCAGAAATAAACAAACAACCAAAAAGTGGGGGAGGTGGAGGAGAGGCGGGATCTAAGCTCTCCCTAACCCTTCTCTGGTTGTGCCAATTCAAATG